GCCTGCGCTACGAGATGAAATTTCCCGCCACGTACTGCGCAAGCCTTGCCCTGGAAGCTGTAAGTCTTCAGAGCTCCAGAGTGCTTCCCTCAGACAGATTCTGCCAGTGCATTTGTTGTCCAGTGGGGAGACAGATTCCTGATGCTTCCTTCTCCACCATCTTCCCAGGATCCTCTTCGACCCAAGGCCTTTTGCACAAGAGTGGCTAAAATGGTCAGGCAATGAAGAGAAGTTCCCAGGGCTCCTTGATACAGGAGCCCCACGCACTGTGGCACCAAAACCCATTGGTGTAGCCCTGACTTGGGTACAATTAGATTGAGAGAACATAAAAATGTAAGAGTCGATAAGATTATGAAAGTTGGAATGTTTAAACAGGCTTTACGTAAAGAAGTCGTGTCTTCTTCACCTGATGTTTTATGGGAATGGATGTTGTGTCACAGTGGGGAACACTTCCCCTACCCTGTATTGTAAGACCCAAGCCTGTCGACGACGTCCTGATGGGGGCCACGGTTAGGAACGTAAGGGTTGATGGAATTAAGGGAAGAGTTAGGAGGAGAACTGGCAGGTATGAGCAGGCTTCCTGTGGAGTGGTTGTGTCATTTCTCCCTGACCATATTATAGGATGGACACTGTGTCTGACTGAAGAACATTTCCCCCACCTAGTCTTGTAAAACAGAGGCATGTCACTCTGCCCTTCGAGCAACATTAATTGGACATGCTAAACGGGAGCCAGCACGGCTGCCTGAGCCCACAGAGTGTGGAGTGGCAGCTGGAGTGCTGGTCGGGACAGAGTCTGTGCCGCGGCCCCGTGTGGAGTGCAGACTGGGGCTCACGGCAAAAGCCTGCGAGCGCCTCCCGGCGACGACTCCTGGGACTTTGGACTAGAGAATTGCCATTTGAGGGGCATTTACTACCTTGCTGTCAGACATAAGTTGAAGCTACCCTGAAGACTGAAGGACATAAAATGATCTTGAAACCTGAAATACTCAGGATGTCTTGGGTGACGTCGGAGAAACACTAGAATGGGGATGAAGTGCTCAGAAAAGTTCCATAATACAACAGAAATGGTGTATCCAGGACGGTGCTGCCTGGGGAACGCTCACGGGCAGGGAGCCTCTTTCCCTAGGAGGACTCGGGGACTGTGTGAGGAGCTGCTGGATGCTAGTGTCATGTGATGGTGCCCTATAAATAGCTCTTGACTGACTGACAAAGAGCTGCTTGGTTTGCAGACGGCAGTTCCAAGGTGAGCGGGGCAGCATCCTGTTTGGAAGGCCACCACTCTAATCAAAGAAAGTAAAAACAAATTAGTTTGGTGGGCTGAACTGCATGCTGCTTTTCTAGCCATGATAGAAGAGTTGAACGGTGGTAAAATTCCCTATGCTTTTGTTTCTACCGACTCCTGGGTGGTGGCCCATGGCCTGGCCATATGGTCAGGCAGGAGGGCAATGGGCACATGGCCAGAGGGGGCACAGCCCTGTGGAAATCACTGTGGGAATCTGAGGGGTGCATTAAAGTAAGACATGTTGATGCCCATAAGAAGAACCCCCTTCTGGGTCTGGAAGGAGACTAGAATCATTAGTGGCTTTTCCCTTTCTCCTATCCTAAGTAGATATCCCTGTGTGCTGGCTTGAGGTGGCCACCAGGGCCCATGAAGACTGCAGATGGCTCTGTGGCAGATTCCCTGAGGGGAAGGCCTTGATTGTAGCTGGCAAGTCAGATGGATGCTGGTGGCTACAAATGGCTCAGGACAGGACTAGACACTGACTCTGGACTGGGCTTTGCTTACCCAGTGGTAGATGCAAATGCTCAGAATGCTATAAAAAACCAGAACAGAGGATACGCACCAATATGGGTGGCCAACTATCACTTCTTCAGACCAAGGACCACGCTTTATAGCCCACAATGTCCAACAGTGAGCAGAGAGATCTCCTCGGAGTATTAGTTTGATGGAGAATAGGAACAGGCAATTGAAACACTGGCTGTCTAAAATGGGGGGAGATAAAGGCCTGAAGAGGTGGCTTACACGCCTTCACGAGTGTGTGCTCACACTGAACATGAACATGAGTGGGGCTAAAGGAGTGTCCCCACTGGGTAGATTTCTCTGTTTTTCTGGTGGATCAGGGGAAGAGAGGTGGGGAGGGATGCTGGTGAGACTGCGAGTCTTCCCAAGGAGGGAGGATGCTGGTAAAATGACTGATTTTTTTCTTCTTTTTCCCCACATCACCTCAACCTTTTTTGTTCCCTACCTGATGCAGTGGTCACATGACCAGGGCTGCGAAGTGCCTGAAACAGCGATGATTCCTAAATAAGGGATTGCAACTATATCTTGAGCCTTATGTCGGAATTCTTGGGCCAGAGGGAGCAGGATGGGCCTTCACTCCATCTGACAAAATCAGGGCTAACGGTGAATGCAGCTCTACCGCCTGGTGCTAAACACGGCCCACTAGCTCTGCGCCTGCGCAACCTCACCCTGTGTGCACGAGAGTGGATGGGGTTGGGGGGAGGGGGCACTTGCTAGACTAGTATTGCTGCCCGCAATCTAGACCAGCACAGCGGCCGAACCTAGTGTCCCTTCCAAAGGTGGGAGAGTGGGGGTATAAAGGCTGAGAAGGAAGAATAGTAGCTATGGGTAGTGAGTCAATGAGTTATGTAATAAGCGACATCCATAATTACATTAACACCTCGAAAGAGGCTCGGAGCAAGAGAAGAGATTGTCCCTTAGCTTGAGCATACTAGATGCCTAAAAGGGAGAAGCCACGTGTTTGCCGAGACCATTCCTGTTTTTGGACCTGTGCAGACAGGAGGAAGCCTGCACACCTGAGTGGCCTCGCCCAGGGGGACATCTTCATAGGATATGATGATGGATTGGGCTGATTACTAATGACTTTTTGGGATTCTAGTCACTTTGTCAGTATCTTTTGAGTTGTATATGCTTTTGCTGTAAGGGGTCCATGGCCAGAGACCAGGAGGTGGGCTGTGAAATAATAGAAAAAATATACATTGGTCTCTGCTCCCAGGTTCCTGGCACAGGACTCCTAAGACCCTTGTAATTTCCTAAGTGCTAAGAGCACCAGGAGCATCTTTTGTTCTAGTATTTGGTCTTTGGCCCTGGTTCCCGACCCAGAGCTCCTAAATCCCTTGGAATTTCCTGGGGTTAAGGTTCTAATGAGGTGACTCTGGTGGGCTCCTCGATAGCTCCTGGATGGGTGCTGGTCACCCAACAGACCAAGCTTGGAACTCTCAGCCGCACCCCCGTGCTCCAGGAAGAGGAAAGTGGCTGGAGATAGAATTAATGATCTCTCATGCCTACGTGATGAAGCCTCCGTAAAAATCCCAAAAGGGGTTTGGAGAACTTCTGGGTTGGTGACTACGTGCAGGGTGGGTGGTGCACCCAACTCCACCTGGACAGAAGTTCCTGTGCTTGGGACCCTTCTGGACCTCTCCAGATACATTTCTTCCTCTGGCAGTTCATCTGTATCCTTTATTATATAATAAACTGGTAAGCATAAATGTTTCCCTGAGTTCTGTGAGCTGTTCTAGCAAATGATCAAATCCAAGGGGGAGGTGGTCATGGGAACCTACGATTTATAGCCAAGTCGCACAGAAGTTGTGGGTAACCCGAGGACCCACTCTGGAGGGGAGGTAGTCTGGTGGGGCTGAGCCCTTAACCTGTGGGGTCTGCACTAACTCTGGTTAGTGTCAGAATTGAATTGAATGGTAGGACACCCAGCTGGTGCTACCCAGCTGGGTGTCCTACCAATCACAGAGAACTGATTGGTGTGGGGAAAAACCCCTGCACATCTGGTGTCAGAAGTGTTGTGAGTGTGGTAGTGGTGTGAGAGTGAAGGAGACACACACAGGAGGAGTAGAGTAGGTTTTCATCACACATGAGATCTGTTGTGGATTGAATCTTATCCCCCCGAATTCATATGGTGAAGTCCTAACCCCCAGTACCTCAGAATGGGACTGTATTTGGAAATGGGGCCTTTAAAGGGGTGATTACGGCAAAATGAGGCCGTTAGGGTGGGCCCTCATCCAATGTGACTGGTGTCCTTATAGAGGAGATGTGAACACACACAGGGACACTGGGGATGCCTGGGCACACAGGAAAGACCACATGAGGACACAGCAAGAAGGCAGCCACTTGCAAGCCGAGGAGAGACGCCTTGAAGTGGCAGGAAAACCCAATCTTGCCTGTACCTTGATCTTGGACTTCCAGCCTCCAGAACAGTGAGGAAATAAATTTCTGTTGTTTACATCACCCAGTCTGTGGTATTTTGTTATGGCAGCGGAGTGGACTAACACAGGATCTCCATGTTTTAGTTTGCCTAGCTCGCTAATCCTGCTCACTATTTATTTTGTCTAAAACGCACATGGGGTCCTGTCGCTGCCCTGCTCCAGAGACAGAGCGGTTTCACTCACACCCACTTACCCGCCCCTCGCCGGGAACGCCCCTGCCTGATCCCTCCCATCCTTCTCCACTGCCGGCCTCCTAGCCGTGGGCTCACCAGCCGGCACGGGTGAGGCGCGGATCTGAGAGTCCCCAGGTCTCTGCCTCCAGGATCTGCTCCCATTCATCCCCTCCTCTGTCCTGCGCCCCTGGAACGCCGCAGGCACTCGAGCTTCTGCGTGATGTTACCGGATTTTAAATGTCTAGCACCTGCGGAGAGGGGGCGCGGTCCTGGAGCCGTCCCTGGATCTGGGATCTAGAGATGCCAGGACCACCGCGTACCGGGGCAGAGACCCGAGCAGCCCACGTGGTTGGGGGAATGACCGCGGGGACCACAGGCGGCGGCACCCGAGCACACAGAGGGCGCAGGCCGAGAGGGGTGGGGGGCGGGCCGGGACCCCGCCGAGAAGGGAAGTGACCCCGCCGCCCGGACATCCCCCCGCGCTCTGCCGGCTGCGCGCCGCGGGGGGTCCCGGAAGGGCGGCTGGAGGAGGGGAGGACCCGCGCGCCCCTCCCCCGGGCCCGACTGCGCGCTTTTGAGAAAGCAGAAGCGAGCCGTGCTCCGGGGAGTCCCAACAGAGCCGGCATCTGGGAAGAGAAACTTGCGGACGCGGCCGGGCTCCTTGCCGCCGCCCCCCATCCGACCCCGCCCCACCCTCTGAAGTGCTTGGAGGAGGGTCCTTGGGTCCTGCGGGAGGCAGGGGCCACCACCTGGCCCGCCCCTTGTCGCTGGACTTCCGAAGATCGGGCCCCTTCCCCCGCCGCGCCGTCACCGCTTCTCGGGGTGCCCCGCCCCGCCCCACCCGGAGGGAGGGGCCGCACGGGGCCGGGACAGGACCGCCTGGGACCCCGAGAGGCTGTCGCAGCGGACCCGGAGTCCGGACCTCCGCCCCCTCCCGCGCCCTCTCAACCCTCCCGGGACCCCCAGCGCCCCTGGGCCTTCCGCTGGACGCCCCCCACATCGTGCCCTCCAGGGCCCCGGACCCCCGGCGCGGTCCCCAGTCCTCCTGCGCCCCTCCTATCCTGCGTCGGCTCCCCGCGAGCCTCTACGGGCCCCTGACCTCTGCCCCCAGGACCCCAGAGCGGCCCGGGCCAGGCCCCCTCGAGCCCCGCCGGCCGCCCAGGCGGGAGCGCGCCATGCTCCGGCTCCTGGCCCTGCTGCTCCCGCTGCTGCCGCCCCCCGCGCGCGCCTCGGAGCCCGCGGCGCAGGACGTCAGCCTGGGCGTGGTGAGTGCCGGGTCCGCGGGCTCCTGGGATCTGCAGGGGGCGCTGGGAGAGGGAAGCCAGGGCTGGGACCCCTGGGTCCGGAGGAGGCTTGGGGCTGATTCAGATGTTCAGAGTGACTGGGGATGGAGTCTAGGGACCCGGATTCTTGGATCCGTTAGGAGGTTTGGGGCCCAGATTTGAAGATCTGGGGACCAGGACTCTTGGGTGCAGAAGAAGACTGGCAAACCCAGGGCTGGAGGGCTGGGACCTTGAGAGGGGGAGCAGGTGGGTGTCCAGGGCTGGGGGCCTGGCGACGGGTGGGGCTTCCAGGATGGTGGTGGAAGGGAAAGTCCCATCCCTCCGACCGTTCCCGCTTCCCCTGCTCCCTCCTGTGGTCCAGGACTGGCTGACCCGCTATGGCTACCTGCCGCCGCCCCACCCTGCCCAGGCCCAGCTGCAGAGCCCTGCAAAGCTGCGCGATGCCATCAAGGTCATGCAGAGGTTTGCTGGGCTGCCTGAGACAGGCCTCCTGGGTAGGTAGCCCCCACCCCCCCCAGCCCTGCCTCTGCTCCCAGCCTGACCGTTGCACAGCCGTTTTTAAAGCTCCGCATGCCCCTGACTCACGGATCTGTGCAAATGCTGACCTTGGGTCCCAGCCCAGGGAGTTCTCAGGCGTTTCTCTTTCAATAAACATTTATCAAGAATTTCTTACACGCGAGACCATCTCAGGCTCCGCTGGTACAGTGGTGAACAGAGGCGATAAGGTCCCTGCTCTCATGGAGCTAACATTCTAGAGAGAGACATATACAGATCAAGAACAGAAATGTACAAGATAATCTCAGAGAGTGGCGAGTTTTTTGAAGAAAATAACACGCTAATGGTACTGAGGGGCTGGTCTGGTCAGGGCAGGCTCCTCTGAAAGGTGTCATCTGAGTTGAGAAGACACAGAGCACTCATAGGACACAAAGAGGAGGAGCCAGCCATGGGAGGATGTGGGAGAAGAGAGTCCCAGGCAAGTGCAAGGGTCCTGTGGTGGGCACAAGCTTGTGTGCCTGTAATGAGGGGAGGACTGAAGAGGTAAGCAGGAGTCTGATGCGGGGCCTTGAAGGGTGTTTGGGTTTGATTCCAAGTGTGATGAGAAACCACGGGAGGGTTTGAAGTGCAGTTTTAAGCTTCCTGTGGTTGCTGATGGAGAATGGCGAGTGGGGAGCATGGAGTCCAGGAAGGAGGCACTTATAGGGTCCAGATGAGGGATGATGGTGGCCTGGACTGGGGGTGGGGTGGGGGGTGTGACGAGAAGCCGTTGAATCCAGGCTTGTATGTTTTGTATGTATGTATGTTTTGGAGGTAGAGCTGAGAGACTCATCTGTTGGGTTAAATGCGGAGAAAGGAGAACTGGAGGGACCCTAGCTAGTTACGAGGGAAGGGACCTTTCCTTGTCCTGTCCACTGCCGAGCAGTGGCTGGCACTTGGATGTGCTCAGTTACTCTTTGTCACCTCAACCAAGGAGGTGAGGTTGGACCTTCATTTGAAGACCAGGAGGCTGCCGGGAATGGAGCCGAGCTGGGAAAGGGGATTCCAGGCCCATCTAACCCGGGAGGGGGTGGCTTGCCACACGAGGCCAGAGACCCAGCCGGCCCTGGGACTTGGGAACTAGGGCGTGAGGTATGGGCAACCTGCGAGGGGGTCCCAGCCTCAAAGAGTAGAGTTCTCACTGCAGCCCAGGGCTCCTTTCTGCAGTCCAACCACCAGGGCTCAAGGAAGTGGGACGCCCAGATCCCAGCCCGAAACTGCACGCCACCTGGAGGCAGGCTGCCCAGGGCCAGGTGCAGAGGGTGACGCCGCCCAGAAGGGCAGTCTCATAGTTTGGTATGAGCTGGCTTCCAGAATTGGACTGCCTGGGTTCAAATCCAAGCTGTGGGGCCTTCTTGGCAAGTTTCTTCACCTCTCTGAGCCTCAGTGTCCCCAGGTAGAAAGTTAGCTGGTGTCATGATTAGTGCAGATTGTCCTAGTGCTGATTCCGCACCCCCCCCAACCTCTCCACAGACCGAGGGACAGTGGCTGCCATGCATAAGCCCCGCTGCTCCCTGCCTGACGTGCTGGGGGTGGCAGGGCTGGTCAAGCGGCGCCGCCGATATGCCCTGAGTGGCAGCATGTGGAAGAAGCGAACCCTGACATGGAGGTAGGTCCTGGTGCGCATCCCACCCTCCCGGGCCTGCCCATTGGGCAGGGCTCTGAACGGCTGCCTTCTCTCTCCCTGGCCGCCCTCACTCCCTCTCCTCTCTCCCCAGGGTACAGTCCTTCCCCCAGAGCTCCGCGCTGAGCCAGGAGACGGTGCGGACCCTCATGCACCACGCCTTGACCGCCTGGGGCGTTGAGTCAGGCCTCAGATTCCGGGAGGTGGGTTCTCAGGGCCCCAGCGAGCCCGACATCCTCATCGACTTTGCCCGGGCATACCACCAGGACAGTTACCCCTTCGACGGGCAAGGGGGCACCCTCGCCCATGCCTTCTTCCCCGGGGAGCACTCCATCTCTGGGGACACTCACTTCGACGATGAGGAGACCTGGACTTTTGGGTCAAAAGGTACAATCTCCCCTCTCCTGGGAGGTCCTCTCCCCAGGTCTGTCTGTCCTTAAGAATTAGGGTTAAATTACATTTACTGATGGAGGCTGTAACACTTGGGCTTCTCCAGAGAAACAGAACCAGTAGGATGTTTGTGTGAGTGTGTGTGTGTATGGAGTGATTTATTTTAAGGAATTGGCTCATGGGATTTTGGGGACTGGCAAGTCCAAAATCTGTAGGGCAGGCCTGCTAGCTGGAAACTCAGGCAGGATTTCTATGTTGCAGTCTTGCGGTAGAATTCCTTCCTCTCTGTGTAACCTCAGTTTTTGCTCTCAAGGCCTTCAACTGATTAGATGAGGCCCACCCACAGCATGGAGGGTGATCTGCTTTACTTACAGTTAACTGATTATACATGTTAATCACATCTACAAAATAACCTCCGCAGCAACATCTAGACTGGTGTTTGACCAAACAACAGCCCCACAGGCTGGCCAGGTTGATGCAGAAAAGTACCCATCACAGAGGCCTGTCAGGGGCCCAGCTCTGAGCTGAGGACTTAAAGAGGCAAAAACACAACTCCATCCAGCAGCTGAGTCAGAAGAGTAACCGGCAATTGCCACACACGGTGACACAACTGCCGTGAATCACAATAGAGGAAGTCCCCCAGCTTGCGGTCCCTCAGATGGAAGGCCGACCCGAGGCTTTTGGCTGAGGGCGGCTTCCCCGCAGTGGTGATGCTGTTCATTCCACAAGTATACGCTGAGTGCCAACTAGTGCACAAGGTCCTGCTCTCCCGGAGTCCACAGGGCAGTGGGGGTCGGTGTGGGGGTGCATAAGAAAGCATAAGCCAGTGGGCTGGCTGAGTCCAGGGAGTGAGAGTGGCAGCAGTGGGGTGAGAAACAGCCTGGGCCATTTGGGGCTGAGTGTCGGAAGGGAGACCGCAGAGGACAGATGGCAGGTCTTGGACCACAAAGGGCCTTGGAGAGCAGAGCACATGGAGGAGTTTGGACAACAGGGTTCTGAAGGCAAGGGGAGCTGAGGGAGGCTTTGCATTCTAGAAATACGACTGGCTGTGGTGGGGGGTGAGATAGGGGTGGGGAGGCAGGAAGCTACCACAGGGTCCAGGGAAGACATGGTGCTTGGTGATTGGGGGGCAGAGGTCAGGGGGCGGCTCTGAGGGAAGGTTAGTCAGGATGGGCAAAGATTGGGATCTGACTGGATGCTGGGGGCCAACGGGATGGAGACAGTCAGGTGACAGCCAGGATTCTGGCTCAGGGTGGCTCGCAGAAGGCAGGGGTGAGTCATGTTGGGGCGCATGTTTGTAGTGCTTGTGGGCCGTTCACTGCACGTGGTGCTCGGTGGCCGAGTGTCCTGCTCTGGAATGTGGACTCCTCTGACTTAGGTCAGGTCCCCAGAAGCAGCGCTCAAGATGGAAATCCTTGTGCAGGCAGTCTCTCGGGGTCACGTTCTCAGGGGAAAGGGAAGCAGGAGAGGACTGGGGACAGAAGGGGACTGGGGACCACATCCTGAGCAAGGATGTGGTCTCAACTGGAGGAAGCCCTGGAGCAGAAACAGCGCCACAGAGTGGGTCCTGCCTGGAGGCCAGGGGCCCAGCTCCTCTCCTCCCTGATCAATCCGCCATTGTCTGTGAGCTGTGGGGGGAGGCTGGGCCATGGGGGAGAGCTATTTTCTGGGGAAGGGGCAGCCAGGGGATGGGGCACAGGCTCTGTAGAGGATTTGCAGAGAGCATGCACAGTCGCCCCGCTGCAGGACGCAGCATTAAGAACGTGGGGTGGAGCAGAACTCAAGTCAGAGCTCCTCTGTTGCTACATGTATAACGTGCTCAGCTCAACGTCTGAGAAATAGGCATGATAACAGGACCTGTGGTGGTGTGGGCTTGCGGGTTAAATGAGTAATTCTCCTACAGCTCTCAGCACAGGGCCTGGCACGGAGTAGTGCGCCAGTGACTGCCAGCTGCTATGAGCAGGGCCTGGTGGCAGATTTAAGAGTCAGCGGTGCTGGGGGATGGTAAGGTTCCGGGAGGAGAGTGTAGAATGTGAAGGTCAAGCACAGAGCTGTGGAGAGCCCCACAGTCAAGGGGACGGCTGCAGGGGAGGAGGAATCAAAGGAAATGGAGAAAGAACAGGCCGAAAGGTGACCAAGAGCGAGAATGAAGGAGGAAGTGGTCAGCAGAGGCAGGGCAGCAAACCAGTCCAGGGGGTTCCAGAGGGCCGGATTAGGGCACCTGGGGACGAAGTGACCCTAGTGCCTGCAGGCTTGGTGGGTGGGGGAAGAATCCAGACCACAGTGGGCTTAGGCGTGAGAGGAGCTGAGGAAGGGAAGATGAGTCTAGACCACTGACCAGAGAACGTGCTGGGGAGACAGAGGGGTGTGGGTGGGGGCAGACAGGTCCAGGGGGGTCTTAGGAAGAGGGAGTCTTGAGCACTCAGGGCCGCTCGATGAGCCAATAGAAAGGGGTGGGGGATGGATGGATGGAAGGACACATGGATGGATGGATGGATGGATGGATGGACACGTGGGTGGATAGACGGACAAGTAGATTGGTGGATAAATGCATGGATGCAAGGATGAATGCATGAGTGCACTGAGGCATAGATGGATGGAGGCAGGGATGCAGGGATGCACAGACGGGTGGGGCATTTTCCTTGTTCTAGAGGAGGTGAGCAAGAAAGGGTCCTCGCCCAGGGCAGGGCGGGAGGCAGGAGATGAGCATGCGGGAGATGAAGCTATCTGCCCTGGATGCACAGGAAGTCACAGATTACATCGGATGGCCTATTTTGATGAAATAGGAAATGCGTTTGTCACCTAAGAGTTGGGGGCTGGGGCTGGGTAGTGGCTCGAGGGGCTGTGGGCCTGGAATTGGGGCAGAGTGGAGAGAGCAAGGAGCTGCCTGCTGAGGTCTAGGGCAAGGATGAGAGGAGGGAATGAGGATCCCCGTAGACTGGCCACCAGGAATCTCATGGGGCTGGATCTGCACAGTTGTGTAATTTCCCCCAACCACAAAGTATGAGAAGGAGGCAAGGAAGGGGTGCAGCCAAAGAGAGGCAAGCAGGGAAGGGGGGTGAGAGAGGAAAGAGATCTACCTGATTAAGACACCAAACTTCCTCCAATTTCTCAGAAAAAGGACTCAGATGGATGAGAAAACCCCAGTCAACATGGAAACTCATCACACATATGAGTTTGACCAAGACCCTCTTTGGTCTCTGCTGAGAGGCAGGATGGCACAGCCAGAGTGCTCAGCCTCAGTCCCAGCTCTGCCATTGCACCTGACCTCTCTGTGCCTCAGTTTTCTCTCCTGTAAACTGGAGTCCGGAGGTGGAGGTTTTCGGAGAAGTAAATGAGGACAAGGGTTTGCTTCTCTTCTTATGACGGACACATTTCATTCTCACCTCTCATCTCGCGGCCTTTAGGGGCTGAGAGAAATCTGCTTTTGAGTCACCAGGTCACTTCCAATAACCCACTTTCAACCCTGCTGACCCTAGTTAGAGATTCCATGAAGTAGCTGGTCATCTGGGGAATCCACATCTCCCTGGGGGGCTGCTCACCTCTCTCCTGTCTCGGTCTCTTCCGGCCTCTCCCTGGCTGGAGCAGGCTGCTCCTGGATCAGATCGACGAGTTCGGGTTCGGCCAGTGGCTGGGAGTGTGAAGAGGCTTGCTCCTGGTGCCTGGGCTGGGTCCCGGAGGAAGAGGCCTCTGTGATCGGAAAGGCTGGGAGCGAGGCTGGGCGCCGGGGCCGGCAGGCTGTGGTCGGATGGAGAGTGCCTGCTGGAGCTGCACATTCTAAGATGGATGAAGGCTTCAGTGGTGGGGAGGAGAGGCCAGACCCGAGGGAGGTGGGGAGGGGTGGAGGCTGGGGGGGGGAGACATGAGGGAGGAGGATAGAGGACTGAGGGGTTGTGGGCAGTAGAGGGGTGTGGATAGAAGGAGAGGGGAGGGGAAGGGCATGGGGGTGGGAGTAGGGTGAAGGTCTTGGGAGCTGAGGCCGAGGAGACTGAGCAACATTCCCCATGGGTGGGAGTGGGAAGGGTGGGGAGGGGCGGGGGCCCTCTGCCCACAGATGGAGCAGGGAGGAGGGGGGATATTCCAAGGGCTGGGGCTTCCTCCCGAGACTGCCTGAACCCCCAGGCCCTTGCTTCCCCAGAATGCTTCCATGTGCACAGTCTCGCCTTCCTGGGGGCAGGGGCTGCGTCAGTGTGAGGTCGCCCCTCCTCTGTCCAGACTGTCTCCTCCTGCTCTTTCCCCACCCTGTTCTGTGGGTGTCCTCAGCCTGATGTTCCAGTGTCTAACGCTGCCAAACAAGGCTACTCAAAATATTTACCAGATAAGTGAACGCACGCAGGAAGGATGAAGGGGCTCAGGGAGGGGTCTGGGCAGAGGAGGCCATGGCCACCTCCGAAGGCCTCCTGGCTGTTCCTGTCCACCAGCAGGCCCCACTCCTAGCTGTCTGGCTGCCCCCTTCCTGGTGTGGGGGTTGGGGCACACAGATCCAGCCCACTCTTGCTCCCTTCCCAGATGGTGAGGGGACGGACCTGTTTGCAGTGGCTGTTCATGAGTTTGGCCATGCCCTGGGCCTGGGCCACTCGTCAGCACCTGACTCCATCATGAGGCCCTTCTACCAGGGCCCGGTGGGTAACCCGGCTGAGTACCGCCTGTCCCAGGATGACAGGGAAGGCCTGCAGCAGCTCTACGGTACAGGGAGTGGGGGCAGGGGCTTGCCCTGTGGCCTCTGCAGCAGGGTAGGGAACCTCACCTCTCTGACTCTCTCTCCACAGGGAAAGCGCCCCAAACCCCCTATGACAAGCCCACAAGGAAACCCCTGGCTCCTCCTCCCCCGCCCCCTGCTCTGCCCCCAGACAGGTGAGTCCCTCTCCAGCTGTGTGACCTTGGGTGAGCTCCTGACCTCCATGTGCTCCTCTGTGAGATGGGCACGGTAAGAGTCCCTTCCCCGTAGGACTGTCGTCAAGGTTAAGTAAAGAGAGGAGGAGCCCGGCCCTCTCTGCTCACCTCTTCTTTCCTCCGCAGCCCCTCCCTCCCCGGCCCTGATCGCTGCGAGGGCAATTTTGACGCCATCGCCAACATCCGTGGGGAAACCTTCTTCTTCAAAGGTGAGTCACTCAGATCTCCGCTGACTCCATATCGTTGGCTTCCTACCCACTCAGGGTGACCCGCCAGGCCTGTGGCGTTTCCCGGGGTGCAGGACTTTCAGCCCTAAAAAGAGGGAAAGTCGCGCGCATGCCGGTCCCCCTGGAACCCCTGCAGCCGTGCTTTCCAGATGGACCTCCCCGCACAGCAGGGTCAGGGGGAGACCCAGCAGTGTCCCAGCCCCACCCTCGGGGAGAAGACCTCTTGCCATCTCCTGCCCCGCGCCCACCTCCTCTACCCCACAGGCCCCTGGTTCTGGCGCCTCCAGCCCTCGGGACAGCTGGTGTCCCCCCGGCCCGCGCGGCTCCATCGCTTCTGGGAGGGGCTACCGGCCCAGGTGCAGGTCATCCAGGCGGCCTACGCCCGGCACCCGGACGGCCGCATCCTCCTCTTCAGCGGTGAGTGGGCCCCGGGGGCGCGGGGGGCGGAGTGGGGGCGGGCGCAGGAGGGGCGCCCGGCTCACCGAGCCGCCCCCGCAGGCCCCCAGTTCTGGGTGTTCCAGGACCGGCAGCTGGAGGGCGCCGCGCGGCCGCTCTCCGATCTGGGGCTGCCCCCGGGGGAGGCGGTGGACGCCGTGTTCTCGTGGCCGCTGAACGGGAAGACCTACCTGATCCGGGGCCGGCGCTACTGGCGCTACGACGAGGCGGCGGCGCGCCCGGACCCCGGCTACCCGCGCGACCTGAGCCTCTGGGAGGGGGCGCCTCCGGCCCCCGACGATGTCACCGTCAGCAACACAGGTGGGAGGGCGCGCGGGTCGGGGACCCCGGGGCTGGGGCGGCGGGGTCCTGGGGGCACAGAGGCCATCCTGGGGCTTTCGGGGAGCCCCCGGCCGAGCGAGGGGCAAGGGGGCCGGGGCTCGGGGCGCCCGCACCGGCCTCTGAGCGTCTGCTCCCTCCTGCAGGGGACACCTACTTCTTCAAGGGCGCCCACTACTGGCGCTTTCCCAAGGGCAGCGTCCAGGCCGAGCCGGACTCGCCCCAACCCATGGGCCCCAAGTGGCTGGACTGCCCGGCCCCCAGCGCTGGCCCTCGCGCCCCCAGGACCCCCAAAGCCACCCTCAAGCCCGGACCCTGCGATTGTCAGTGCGAGATCAATCAGGCCGCGGGGCGGGGGTCCGTGTCCCTCCTGCTGCCCCTTCTGTCCCTGCTGGTGGGGGGCGTCACCTCCCGCTGACGGGGACCAGGCCGCTAGGAGGAAGGGGCCGGATCTCCTGCTGGAGGCGGGTGCATCGCTGCCCAGCCCCATCCTCTGTTCCCAGGGGCGGGGCTGGGCCCGGGTGCAGCTGGGCGGATGCAAGTGGAGCTAAGCCCTGGGGACAGGGGACAAAGGCTGGCCCTTGGGCCGAACGCACGAGGGCTCGGCTTCGCCTCCCCCAGACCTGCGACCTCGGAAACCAGGACTCCGGCGGAGCACGGCCCTCCCAGGTGTCGCCTTTTCCTGGAATAGCTGGCCTTTCTCACAGCTCAGGCGGCTGACTCCTCGTAGCCCTGACCACACCCAGCAACTGCGGCTGCAGGCTGTTTGGCTCTTTAGAAGACAGGCCTGATGGGGAAGCGGATCCCAGCCCCTCTCTCCACCTGCTGCTCTGAGTTTCCCAGAAGTTTCTCACCCTGTCCTGCTCCACCATATCCCAGTCAGTGCCACATAGGTAGGCACCCTGGACCCATCCCTGGGACCACCCCTGAGCACCAGTGTCCATGTCCTGGGTCACATCCACGGCCACACAGGCGACCTTCCACAGTCCAGGCCTGTGGACCTCCTTGCTAGTCACCACCCTATCCAGACTGTCCCCCATTCAACAGGACACCATCCCAGCCCTAGGAAAGCTCTCATGGCCTCCACACTGGAGTGTCTGCCTCTTCCCTCAAGGAGAACTCCTGGGCCCCATCAGCTCGGGGTTGGAGGAAAGACACTGGACTGAGCTCCCTCTCAGTCAGGGTCATTGCCTCCTCAGCATCCTGGGTGATGAGTGGGGGGAACCTGGACCACCTCATTCACCTCCTCACTTCTCACAGAATTCAGGATCGAAATCAGTGCTTCTGGAACTGTGGTTCTAGAATATTCCTCATCAGAGTCACCCAGGGATCTTAAAAATGCAGACGCCATGCCCTCACCCTGAATCCTCACTCTGAGGGTGGGGTCAGGAGTCTGCATTTGAGCTGGCTGGGGGGTGGGTGGCCTGCTGGACAAGGGAGCTGGACCAGCAGCTCCCGACTCTATCTTGTGGCTTTTCTGTGTCTCTGCCATGTGCTCCCTCCCAGGGGCCCAGCACTTCACGTTCTCTACTTTGCCAAGATGATGGCCTTGCTTGAGAGGGGTCCACCCCCCCAGGTGAGGTCACTTAGCAGCCACTTCTTAGTCTGCCATCCGGACGCAATGGCCCCACAGAGCTGCCTGGAGCTGAGGCTGTGGGCTGCACTCTCAGTCAGGAGGGACATTGCCCGGTGTTGGTCATGACAACTAGACCAGTCTGAGGGCACAGCCAGGTGTCCTCCACGAGCCCATGACCTGAGAATGCTAAGCCGCCAGAGAACCAGAAATCAGGCCTCTCTCAGGATCCTTTCAGAGTGTGAGGAGAGAGAAACTTACATTTTAAAAGGTTTTCAGCCCCATCCATGACAATAAAAATAACTGAAGAGAAAACCTTTCATTTCTTCTGAGCACTGATGGACCTGGGGTGAAGTTTGGGGGCAGGGACTTGAGGGACCTGAATCGCTCTGCTTTGCAGAAGAGGATGAATCTAGAGTTGAAGGGTGGCAGGTGGGGGATGGAAGCAGAGTGAGTGGGAGGAGGAAGCAGAGAGAGGAACCCAAAAGTTGGTGGGGGAGCCCAGAGGAGAGGTGTCCAATGTGAAATTTGAGGCTGCTTTCAGTGTGACACGGAAACTTCTCCTGCTCCAGCCTTTAAGAATTGATAAGTCTACTACACAAAAATGCCATGTCAAATGGATTAATTGTGTTTTAAAAATAGTACAGTCCCAGGGCCAGCCCTGTGGCTTAGTGGTTGAGTGCGCGCGCTCCGCTACTGGTGGCCCAGGTTCGGATCCCAGGCGCGTACCGACGCACTGCTTGTCCGGCCATGCTGAGGCAGCGTCCCACACACAGCAACTAGAAGGATGTGAAACTATGACATACAACTATCTACTGGGGCTTTGGGGAGAAAAAGGGGGAAAAAAAAAAGGAGGAGGATTGGCAATAGATGTTAGCTCAGGACTGGTCTTCCTCACACACACACAAAAATAGTACAGTCCCATAACCAAAATTTAAAACTTCAAAGCACAAAAATGTACTTCAAAGGACACCATCAAAAAAGTGAAAAGACAACCCACAGAATGGGAAAAGTTATTTGCAATGATAAACTGATAAAGAACTCATATCCAGAATATATAAACTACTCCTACAACTTAATAATAAAAACAAAAATAACACTATCTAAAAATGGGCAAAGGATCAGAGTACGCATTTCTCCAAGGAAGATTTACTAATGGCCAATGAGCGCATGAAAAGATGCTCAACATCACTAGTCATGAGGGAAATGCGAATCAAAACCATAATGGGTACCACTTCACATCCACTGGGATAGCTAGAATCAAAAAGACATAGTAGTAAGTGTTGGTGAGTATGTGGAGACATTGGAAGTTTCATCCCCTGCTGCTGGGACTGTCAAATGGTGTTGTCACTTTGGAAAACAGTCTGGTGCTCCCTTAAAAAGTTGAACACCTAGTTACCATATGGCCCAGCACTTCCACTCCCAGGTGTATACTCAAGAGAAAACACCTGTCCGCACAGAAACTTGTACACGAATGTTCATAGCAGCATTACCCACAATAACCAAAATATGGAAACACCCAAAATGCCCATCAATAGGTGAATAGACAGACAAAATGTGGTCCATCCATACAATGGAATATTATTCAGTCATAAAAAGGAATGCAGCACTGACACCCACTACAACGTGGATGAATCTTGAAAATCTTAGGCTAAGGGAAAGAATCAGACACAATGGGTCCCCTAGTGTGTGATTCCCTTATATGAAAAGTGCAAAACAATAAAATCTATAGAGACAAAGTAGATGAGTGGTTTCCTATGTCAGGTGAGGGGTGGGTATGTGGAGATTAAGGGATGATGGCTAAGGGGTGAGGAATTTCTTTTCTTTTCTTTTTTTTGCAGAGGAAGATTTGCCCAGAGCTAACATCCATTGCCAATCTTCCTCTGTTTTGTATGTGAACTGCCGCCACAGCATGGCCACTGACAGATGAGTGGTGTGGGTCTGCGCCTGGGAGCCAAACCCAGGCCACTGAAGTGGAGCATGCTGATCTTAACCACTAGGCCACTGGGGCTGGCCCATGAGTGAAGAATTTCTTTCTGAGGTGGTGAAAGTTTCTGAAACTGACTGTGGTCATGGCTGAACAGTTCTGTGCATTGGATTTCACCCTTTAATGGGTGAATTGTATTGTATGTGAATTATATCTCACTAAACCTATTAAAGAAAGGTACTGTTCCCAATGACACACACGTGCCTTCAGATGGTGGCCTTTGTGAGGCAGTCATGGAGGTGCCGAGTGTCACATGGAGTCAGGGAGCCAGGATTGCGGAGGTGAAGCCCGGACATATTTCTTGTAGCTGAAGCAGGAGCAGCTCTCTTCTCTCTCCCACCTTGGAATTCAAAGATGGCCCAGGGAAGGGTCTGGACTTCCTGGGTGTAGAAAGGGGGCTTCAGACAATTGATTGGGCTCTGAAGGGGCAGGGAGACACCAGGTGGGGTCTAGTTAACCCGAGTGAGACTTTCCCCAAGGAAGTGTGCTTTTTAGGTCTGTCTCCTGGGGCTTACATAAGTGGCCCCCTCAGAAACCTGGGTCCTCTTTGAGGGTGTTAGGGTTTGAATTGTGTCCCCCCCAAAATTCATAGGCTGAAGTCCTAACCCCCAGTAACTCAAATTGTGACCTTAATAGGAGACAGTTTCCTTACAGAGGGAATTAAGTTAAAATGAGCTCATTAGGTTGGACCCTAATCCAATATGACTGGTGTCCTTATAAAAATGGAAAATTTGGACTGAGGCATGTATATGGGGAGAACGCCGTGTGACATGAAGATGGCCACCTACAGGCCTAGGAGAGAGGTCTAGAACACATCTTTCCCTCATGGCCCTTGGAAGGAATCAACCCCACGAACAGCTTGATTTCCACTTCTAGCCTCCAGAACTTGAGAGAAGAGATTCGTGTTGTTTACCTACCTGTTCTAGGGGTCTTTGTCATGGCAGCCCTGGGACCCTAGTACAGAGGACAGGACAGTGGCTGTGCTGAGCTGTGAGGGGCTTTGGCCTCAAGTGGGGTGTTAACTGTGTGAGACTAACCCTATGCGGCTGGTCAGGCCCTGGGGGGCTCCCACAGAGGTGCCTTAGGATTGCAGGGCCCCAGGAGGCTCAGGAGAGCCTATCAGCTGGGCCCACAGGGTCAGCAAGGCTTCCTCCAGCCTCTCCTGAGGGCCTCTTCCTGTCCTAGGGACAGACAGGCATCGCCACCAGCCACCCCTGAAGGGGCCTATGTGGTAGTCTGCATAGGCCCAGGTCTGGGGGGCCCTCCTCAGGGTTCCTCAGGTCCTGCCCTGTCCTGAGCCAGGAGCTGCTCCAGAACCTTCTCTGGACTTTGGACCTGAGGTTATCCTTTCAAAGGACCTGCTGGGCAGTCCCAGTACCTTAACCCACACCTAACTGACTTCCTTCTCAGAAGCTCCAGGAGATTCCCACCTGCTTTCCCAGGTCTGGACGTTCCCTCTGCCCCTCCCCTGTCTCAGGCTGATGGGGTCGGGGGAAGAGGCCCATTCCTGGGCTCAGAGATTCCCACCCCAGCTCAGAGAGCGAGGGGCCACGGCCAGGGACCCCCAGTGTAAGGGATGTGCCCTCCCCTCCCAGGAACCTCAGACCTTGGGCTCCTGGTTTCTCCTTGCTTCTTTGTCTGCCCCTCAGAGTCTTCCTCTGTCACACACACTCACACACACACACACACACACACTCACACACACACAGTCAACTCTGTACCCTGTCCTACGGCAGGATCAATCCTCTTCCACTCCTCCTTGCTCTGTTCTTCTTCTTCTTCTTTTTTTTTTTTTGGTGAAGAAGATTGGTTCTACAGGGCCCACGGTTACACTCTCCTGGAATTTTTTTTTTGTTTTTTGGTGAGGAAATTTGGCCCTGAGCTAACATCTGTTGCCAATCTTTCTCTTTTTGCTTGAGGAAGAGTGGCCCTGAGCTAATATCTGTGCCCATCTTCCTCTACTTTATATGTAGGATGCCAGCCACAGCATGGCTTGATAAGCAGTGTGCAGGTCT